AATTTTGTTCTATGTCGTTTAATGTCATCACTAAAAATTTGAACCTATATTTTATAGTACCTGTATATATGTATAACCTAACCTAGAACCTATATTATAAGTATCCCAACAGTCCTAATAGAATACGAGAAAATGTATGCAAGCGTAAAAATGGCGGTGAAAACCAAGTATATGATAAAACAGTAGACATTCTTCAAAAATCATACGGAACCTTAATTAACCAAGATGTCACTATCAGACGACATCGTAGTTTAATGTAAATACATATTTACATCAGAACGAACAAAATGTAATTATTATATTTCAGTAGATAGTGTCGACTAATTATACAATACGTATGGCGAATATAGCTATGACATAAATATAGGTAATCTCAATAGTTTTCCATTCATAGAATGACTAGTAATTTCTTTGCGTAAGTTACTGCGCATGTGCCTTTTTCTTTTTTTTAAGTGGTGAAAATCATTCAATGTCTTCTCCCGCCCGGGTGAGGTGAGAGTGTCTCTGACTGACTAAAAACCACCCTTTTCCTACTCCTGCACTTTGAGCCGGAGCCCCGGTAACCCGTTAAGTCCTCTGTAGCTCCGTATCGGCACCAGTCCTATTGAGCCCCATCTGTGGTGGTCTCATCATTTCTTGAGACGCGCGCGTAACGCGACGCGCTGGTTCTGATCGGACGGTGAGTCACCCGCTCGCCGTCCGCACCCGAAGTGTCTCTCGCAACGGCTGGAGCGTGAGGAGGTTCGGTCCCTCTCGCGCTCCGCTTCCTCCTTAGCTAGCATTCATGCTTCGCAGAAGAAGGAAACGTCATCCCAGTGCCCCTCGGTCCGTACCGTGCTCGATCACATCCCTGAGACACTGCGGTGCTCAACCCACGCAGGGCACACCGCCACCGTATGCTCCACTGCGTTTTCCGGGTGGCCCTCGCGCCGCGTAGGTACCTATCACAAAATGTCCTGATTTTCAAATCGTTAAAATTTGGTTAACAAACAATCTGTAAACATAGTGTATCTAAAGGGCCGAATTTTCTGCAACCTGGCAATGGCAAGAGCCAATTTGACTATATCCGGGTCATACGGACTTTCTAAGATTATTTGAACACCACTGACATAGGGTGACGAAAACATCGTGAGGAAACCTGGACTTATAATATACTTATAAGTTCTATTTATAATATAATAGTTAATTTTAATTATAATAATAATTTCTAATTATAAGTTAGTAATCGCCGTTTAAGCAAGCATGGTGATTATTCCTCATACCTTCTCCGTGTGAGAAGAGGTAGTTGCCATGGGCTTTTAGGCTGCGATGATGAAGTTCGAAAACTCAACAGGAAAATTAACATCTTTCCTTGTAAATAGAAAACGCATCTGTGTAAATATTTGAGCATATACTTAGCCACTATCTCGGTAATATCTTCTACGTCTAGTTTAATATTTTATTATAATTAAGACTGTAAGACAGATTGTATGTTGTATGACACTGTTAAATTATGCAATTACTATTCTATTTTATTT